GCGATACATTCAATCAACTACCTGTGTTTGTGTCAAATTATGTAGTATGAGAATAATGTGAGAATTATTGACAAACCGATTTTAAGACTTCAGTGTTCCATACTAACTATGCGTTTTCACCTCAAAACAGATAGCAAATAAAGAGTATGGACCATCATTATACCAATCTAAAAAAGATATCGATATCCAAAAGTGATACGTAAATTAATTACAGTATGTAAACCAGCAGGGGGAGCAGTCAACTGTATCAGATAAATCACTGAACTGCCTAGTCTAGAGAGATCGTTGTGATATTTTTCATGATTATTAATAGGTTACAGTCACTCTCCATTGGGAAAATCTTGAATTATGTGTTCTGTGACTGTAATCAAAATTAACTTTTGAGTTGAGACTTTCAGTTTTTTTTCCCAGGCCTAATTCAAGCGCTTATTCTCAATAAAGAACCTCCGATTTGTAATGGGAAAAAAAACTCTGAATTACAGTACTATACTTCAGATTGATAACAAAAGATGAACATCAGGTCAATAGATTTTCCGCAAGCTTTATCAGAGCAGATTAATTAATAAAGTAAACCCGAGTAATGAGCTAAAATGACGCACTTATTGCTATATAAAAGGTGTTATTCGTTGTTGGGAACACCCGGGTGGTCTCTAAAGGACCTCTTCTTGAAAAACAGTAATCTTAAGGATCATGTAGTCAAGGCGCACATACGCTTTTACACTTAGGATACTATTATAAGAAAAAATAAAACACTGCTGTCCTCAATAATCACTGTTTGCTCTCGAAGTCTGAAATGCAGTACTAAGTTTTAGGAGGTAGGTTTATAATATCATCAAGCAATCTGTTTAACTATTTATAAAACCTTAAAAGGGAGTTTAAATTGAAAGCTACCCCATATCTGAGGGAATGGAAGAACAGCTCATGTAACATGAGCTGTACAAATCTAGAGCTAAAGTAGGTGTACCTATTAAAGTTATCAGAGATGGTCAAAAGCTTTTAACTTTGGCTCCGGGATTAATATTAAAGGCTTTCACTGATTTGAGCCGGTACGTATCAGTCAGCTTTAAGAATTTAATAGCACATCCTGAAAAAAAAAAGACTGCCATTTTTTAACAGCTCTCACAACAAATTAGTTTGGAAGACAAACCCGTCAAGGGCATATTATCACAATGTGTCAATTTCAACAGATGTAATGTAATGGTTCCCCACAAGGAGATTAAGAACGTGTTATGCCATTTGAAATGTACTTTGTTCTGCTTTCCTGAACATTATATACATTGCAAACCTTTATGCAATTTACAGTTTTTACTGTAGAAAGTTGTTGTTCTAAACAAATCATTGAGTCCATTGATGAATTCTCATTTTTATATAGAACGTGAACCACGTTCAATGCACATAAAATCCCTCTTCTGAACTGTGATTTGTGTTTTATTTTCTATCATGTGAATACATTTTCCTACTCAGTTTGGCACATGCCAACTCTACAGTGTGCCATCTACAGTATGTCAGCTAACAGACAAAGCTTGAAGCTACTCGTATCATGTTTAGATTGTGTACATTGACAATCTCTGCCAATTTGGAAGAGTAACTGGAACTGCAGAACTGTTGGGAAGGAAAAGAGCTAGATTCAAGGGAAATTGAAGGGAACACTATGTAAGGAAGATGTTAATATTTCCATTCAAAATTTAAATTGGTACACACTGCCTCAAAAGTAGTCTCTCAAACAAGTAGAACCTAATGGATGTTGTAGGCATTTTTATTTTTCTGAGAATTTGTAAGCCATGTAAAAATAAATATTTTTTAAATATTGCAAAATTTTACATGTCCTTTTATATAGTATATACTGTAGAGTTGTCCAATTCAACCTGCTGTATGAACATTTGTTAGATGTACTGTATATATTCAGGAATTTCCTGGAGTAGTTTCTTACATTCCTCTTCTATTCTGCTCCGTCTGCTTCTGCAATCTCTATTCCTGGATTGCCAGTCTCTTCACCTTCCTCCAGTCCTGCCTCTGCCTGTGTCCTCTCTCCTTCTCTACTGGGTGACTGATTGAGCCTTCCATTACTCTACAATCTCCTATGACCTCTGTGGTAGAAGTTTAGTGCTTACAATTATCAGGACTATACCTCCTCTTAAGAAATTCCACAGCCTCTTCACAACTTACTCAATCTGCACTTGCAGACCCTCTCTTCATCTGCCTAATAAATTACATTTATTTTGTAATATGCTATTTACTGTCTTCTATAGTTTCCAGAACTTTTATAAGTATGGCTTATTTCAGGTAACGTATTACATCACCGATTTGAATTTTGAATGTTTTGCGGTCAGAAACACTTGTAAAACAGCCTCATATTACTAAGAGCAGAAAATTAACATTAAAACATTATGATTAAAACCCGACTTTGTGTAAAATGTTACATAGAAACAGTTTGTACATGTAAAATTAAATATGAAAAATACTTTAATGTATATCATCTGTACATTAATACATAATCGTACATGATTACATATTCATACATAACAGATAATCACATTATTATGTGTTATACAGTGGGCAGTCAAACTTAACTTGCAAAAAACAAATCTAAAACTTATATTTACATATATAAACACACATACAATATTAAATTTGGAACTTTATTCCTTCACAATTTAAATCAAATAACTGATTTATACAGTGGAAAGATTTAGCTTACAAAAAATAAATGTATTTTATCCACAACAGCACTAAAGTATATATTCTTAGCCCTTTATACTTCTTCATGGTACTGTACCAATTTTGATTTTAAAAGATCCACTGTATCTTTCCCACATAGAGCATGCCCCATGTAGTATGCCTTTTCCTAGAATATGTCTCATGTATAAATATTGTCTTTAGTTATGACTCATATGCTTCACTGAACATAAAGCCATTAGGCTTGTGCACACTTAATTAGATCCTCCATGTCAGGTTGTTTTTCAAAATTAAAATCAACTTGCTGCTCTTGTAGGTGTTGTGATTAGTCTTTATCTTTTCGGTGTCTGCTTTAGAAAATGTATCCATTTAACTAATAGCACTTAAAACATATGTCACACTTGGGTCAAATGTCATGTTGTGTCTGGAAAAGCTTTTCAATGTCCACCTCCTGCGAGACGTAAAAACCGCAGCATGTAGTGTTATATATATCATTGTCATTTAAGCTTTTAACTTTAGAGAAATTTAGACAATTTAGTTTCTTAAAAAGGAATAGTAGTGAATGCAACTAAAAAAAACAAAATACTAGTCAACAAAGATTCTTGATACTTGTGAGTCTTGTAGTCTGTAGACTGTAGACTAGGTAGTATAGCACTTTCAGTGTTCAGTGTTTTATTCTGTTCACTAGCATGTTTAAAGACCATGAAACAATGGTGCTGTTTACAGAATTTTATTTGCTAGTCATTAGTGCGTGATTGGAACACACTATAATCTTCAACAGATTTTATATTAATTGAAAGAATTGTAAATTTGAAATTGTTAAATGAGTACATTTTGTCAAAAGCATGGGGAACCACATCTAATAATGAAATTATTTGTAAATGACCATGACCATGGAAAGAACTTCAAATACTAAAAGTCATGTAGACAAATAGGAAATTCTCATTTTAATTAGTGTAAAAACTGAATTTAAAATCTAATAATATAAAGCTTTTTTTAAAAAAAAACTACATTTCAGATATTAGCATCATGCATGGATATATGTTCTCACAACTATAGTCTAATTTGAATGCAGTCAAGATTTGGGCAATATTTATCTAGGACGAATGATCAAACCTGCCTTCTAATCCTTTTGGGGACACATGCACATCTGATTTTCATTGCACCTGAGATCTTATGAGATGACTTCATTTGATCAGTAAGTGAATGAACTGCCTATAACAACTCTTTCCATGTCTTTATTTGACCACTCCTCGGAGACTAGGAAACCAGCAGAGCTGTCACTCTCCAGGACCAGAAGTAAGGATCACTGGTATTACCTATCCTAAACTACTGTACAAAAGCAAAGAGCACAACTCAGCATCAAAAGCCAAAAGAAGACATGCTAAGTGCAATCTCAGTTAAAAATATATATGTCCATTTGTGATATTGTTTAACAAAACTGCATTTAAAAAACTACAGTATCTTCCAAAAAATTTTTTTAAAATAATGTATGAATGTGATTTTAACCTTGAATACTCTATGCATTTCTCTTATGTAGGAGAACAAATCCTTTGGTCTTCAGCTACAGAGGACAGTGAATATTGCTATGGTAAAACAAAGGACAGAACTGTTCCACTTACAAACTTCCACTGATAGGCTGATGCTTGATCTCAATGCAAAAAATCTGATCCCAGCCTTGCACAATGGCCTGTTTGTACTTATCCAATTCTCTAGCAGACCGCACAGCATCCAGAAAAATCTATCACATGAAGTGTCATCCACTGTAATGTACTGTATTTAGAGCACATTAAACAGGAAATATATCTTTTAAATGTTTTATCTAACATAGAGCAAAGTGCTTAATTTGAGCTTTTCATTCAAAACTGTGACAACCAAAAAGAATACATTTCAAAATCTTACTTAACAAAAAAGAAAATGGAACAATGTTCTTTTCACATTTTATGTATTAGAGTTATTTTTTCAGTGCTCAAATAATTCAAAAGAGTTGTATTTTGGAAACACAATATAAGAAGAATCTTACAGAGAAAAGAAAATCTTTAGTTAAAATACTTCACAATAAAATAATGTTTATAAATCTCTAAAGTTAAATATTTACATATCACATGTAATTTAAAAAAGAAAAAATATTCAGGGCTTAATCTGCACGTTAATGTAAACAAACCCTTCAACTATATTATTTATTAATAATTATCTTGTCAGTTGTACTTTTTTTTTTCCTATTGGCACTTATTTGTGCAGCAAATCAAAAAGGACATAACAGAATGGAAACATTGATTTTCACACAATCCTTCATGTATTAGACAGCTAGCATTTTTTTTTTTAAATACTTTTCTATACTAAAAAGAGGCCTTTTTACTGAATCTAAGACTCACAAAAAAGCCTGTTCCTCCCATAAAAGTCAAGGACACAGCAGTTAAAGTGCAATTACATTTTCCTGTGATCACACAGAGTGGTTGATTAATTGATTTTTATTCAGTGGTTCTAACACTAGGTTAAAACACACATGAGTAAACCCAGCAGTTTCGCATGCCCCTGTTATCACTGATTTTTAACTTCCTAACACTGTTTCTGGAAAACAGGTCTAGGAATATCACTAGTCTTCATCTGGTAAAAATAGTCACCACCTGCTTGTCCTTTAGAAATATACTGTAGGCTGTATTGCCCCCATCAGAATAGGACAGCATGATTTTACAACACCTCACCTGACAAGCTGCTTGGCAAACTATGTAATTGCTATAGAAGTGCACTGAAGGTAAGTGTAAGAAGCATATGAGCTGCCATTAAGTAAAAACAGGATATCCAGTACAAAGCCATGTAAAAATGTTGTTGTTAGTCCAAGATATTAAACACAGACGTTTATATCCATGAATTCTGCCAAGCTACATACAACAAAAGAAAAACATTCAGAATTCTGCCCAGGGATCCTTGTGCTCGGTAAGTTCTTTTTGTAACTACTGTATATGCATTTCGTCAGTAACAAACAAAAATAAACTCTGAAAAAGCTTAACATAAAACCACCTTTTTTTTTTTGTCAGTGGTAATATCTGAAAAATTAAAAAGTATATTTATTGTTAAAAAAGCAGGAGGAGGTGGTTGAAAAAGGTGTCTAAGAGCAAAGTCCAAGACCTGAGAGACCAATGCCAAGCTGGGGAACCACACCATGTGTGAACTTTAATTTGTTGTTCGATAACGGACTTCATAATGTGCATATGTGAGGACTAGTTTAAGTTACGGCAACTGTAGGCAAACCTTATCTACATATTAAAAATAAGGTTATTTTCTAAATTGGTTGTTTACCGGATATTACAATTTTACTCTCAGAGTTTAGTCAAATTTCAAAATTGATTCACTGGAAAGCCCTCAAATGTTACACACAGTGGGATCTTCAAGAGGCATAACCTGATGGTGAAAATCATATGAAATATTAAAGTATACAATCAGTTATGTTGTTACAACAGAGGTTAGAATGACCAGCACTAATCCAACCCCTCTTCTAAAGTAGAATTACTCTTTTTTTGTGCAGTCATTGATATTTACTCATGAGTTAAGTGCAACAATTAGTTCTACTAAGCAGCCACATGGCCGATAAGATAAATATTATCATAGAGGTGGCCGACAAAATCCTCACTGATGTTCTGAGCAGCACGTCGAGTATTACGAATGAACTCCCTCTTTGACATTTTATTTTTCACATGTGGGCTGGACAGGTCGATGGACAGCAGAATCAAGGAGTAGCACAGTACGTAGACTGCATCTGGAAAGAGCAAAAAAAAAAAGATAACCCTATTAAAAATAGTACGGATTTTTATACCTTCATACTGTTGTGATATTTGGCACAAAAGCACTGTCTTCAATTGCACAACTATTTAGAGGCAGCAGGGCAGAACAGTGAGTAGAGTGCTGGAAAGGTGTGAGTGATCCCAGGTGAGGCACTGTTGTTGACCTCCTGAATAAGGTAAGTCACTCAAACTGTTCAGGTAACTGTTCAGGTAAAATACAATGTATGTATATCAAAGCAAATATAAGTTGCTTTGACTAGTAGTGGCAGCCAAATGTAATACATGTTGAATGATAATGCACCTAAAGAAACACGTACGTTATCTGATGTACACAGTACTTTCAGCTCTGAGGCCACTTTCCATGCAACAGGTAGTTTAGAATAAATCATTTGCATTAACCTCTATAATAACAGACAGCCAAGCTGAACTGGCTAGGGAAGCGTTTTAAACGACTAAACCTTTGAGCCTAGACGATTACCATGGCTTTAGTGTTCAATAACAGTCTAAGAAGTGAGGTTTCTTATACATTTTTATTTATAGTAAGAACATGTGTAGGCATTATAAGTAAGCAGATGTGCTAACTGTAACACAACAAGCATAGTACTCTACTACACTACATCTGAAATGCAGGAAAATAACTGCAAAATAAAAAAAAAAAACAGAACAACAAAAAATTTGCAGTAACTACACAGTTTACTTCAGGAAAATAGTTGGTTTGGAAGTCATGATGCAAAATCAGGAAATGCAAAAGCATTTTCACCCATTATGACACAAATCCAGTTCTGCCCTACATAATGATTTACTACAACGTGAGATAGCTGCATAAAAATCCTGCTGTTCTGACTGGTGGAAAACTGTGGCACTAAATTCAAAGAAGGGCCTTCTGTCTCTTACCTGGACTTAAGCCAAGCTCCCTCACCAACCCAGGATTACATGCACAAAACCTGTGTGAAAACTTTGTGATGAGAGTCTCCAGATACTCGCCACGTTCCTCTGGTGCATGGATATGTCTGAAAAACTCCCGCAGTGCATTGGGCAAAAACTGGTTACTGAAATTGTGCAAAGTAACAAGATCATCCAAGACATCTCTCCTGTACGTTAAAACGAAATATAAAAGATTAGTTCTAAGCTACACCCCGTTGACTTTTTTGAAAATATACTTGCAAACAGTACCATATAAACAGCAAATAATTACCTTTCATCAAGATATATCCGTAGCATTTTCCAGTGTAGCGTTCTTGTGTAAAATATGAACTTGGCAACTTCTTTTGGATGGTCATTCAATATGCCTTTTGATATAAAGTAGCTAATACCCTAAAGAGAATGACATTTACAGAAATTGAAACAACACTACAACTGCAGAAAATACCAGAACAACATCAGTTTCTACCACAGCCCATGTTATAGATTGACCTCTATTGTAGGGCTCATGCCATGATGATCATTTGTTTGTTAAAATAATGAAAAATGCTGTAACGCATTGCTCCAGACACTGATTTTGTCTTCACTGTTTACAATTTTTAAAAGCTACTATTGTTTCACACCATTATTTCATGGCTCAGATGCCACCTTTTGACATTGTCAGTGTGCACATTTGTAAACATAAAGACAGTGAAGTTAAAGCGTACAGATTAAATAACTTTCCACAAGTATGAGAATACGCATGAGTTGTTTACCTCATGAGGGTTAGCATTGAAGGTTAGACTGCCTTCATCTAACTGCATGTACAGCTTCCTGTAGGAGAAGCCTGGAGGATGTCTCCTATTGTATATGGAACAGTGACCCCATGTGGATTTGCACAACCTAAAGCAGAAAACGTACATTTTATTAACTCATTAAGGAATTCATTCATTAAATGAATTACACTGAATGGAAATGCAACCATCACTGAAATCCATTTATAACATGTATTACATCTATTTAATGCCGCACGATCTTGTGCAGTTCACTTTATCTGTTCAAGATTTCTCAAGACAACACAATCCGAGCAACATTCAAGCAACAAGAAATAGTTTTTGTTTCCCATTTAATTATTTGTAATATTGAGTATGCCACCAGGTATACCAGAGCTAGTTCTGTCAAAGCCACTTACTTTCTCAAGGCTTTTTCTGTCATAGCATAGATGGAAATGTAATTTTGAACCCCTCAAAACGCCTTTAAAAATGTAACATAGTAGGTTGAAAGTTTAATTGAATTCATTTTAAAACACTGCAGTTAAGGTAAACTTAATTTACTGTCAATTTCTGCAAACAGATATCAACCATTTACATTGTTAATTTCTCGGTAAAGACCGCAGTATTTGCATGTCACCCAGCACTGGAATTGTTAATTATAGTTAGCGTGAATTCTTCCCTGCTACAATTCGTATGAACTCACCCAGTTAAGAAAACGCAAAGCAGACTCTTCTCCTCGCTGAAAGCGTTGCGGATTAATGTTTTATTTTTTCTACACGCAGTATCGTTCACTCACCCTTGCCAGAGGTATTCATCATTTCCTAAACCCTGCCAGACGCACGAAGCCAGACACAGGTCAGTAGCATTCAGGTACGATAGGATGGTAATGCTCAGCTCAGGCGGGAGCATTTCCAAGTCAATGAAACCTTGCTTCTCCTTGGATTTCCTAGCCTTCAGCAGCTGATAGATGTCGATGCCGCCTGGGCCTTGCCTGCGGTGGTTCAGGTTCTCTGCGGCAGCAGCTGCTCTCCTGCCACGCTCCCTTGGAAGGTAGCCCTGTTCATTGTATTCTTGCTGCAACTGCTGGTTTCTGGCAACCCTCCACAGCCCCTGACCCATCTGCAGATCTGCAACAGGAAGGCGCAGCCAGCATTAGAGGGGACACGTCGAAAACCCTAGCAGCTATCAGACCAGCACAAATCATTTATGGGAACCGTCTCCATGTGTCTTAATTGGGCTGGATATTAACTGCTGTATGATCAAGCTTATGTGACCATTGTTTTAACCTCAACATTAGGCAGAACCAGATCAATGAGAAAAATGTCAATTTAACAGCGACTTATTTAGTAAGTACTAATTCTGTCCAATCCGGAGTATTAAAATATTTTACTTTTTGTTGTCAGCGTCAAACTTCTAATGCACATTTACGTCCCAGTTTCACTCCAGCTCATCATCTGCTGTGGCTGATGTGATGATGAGATGTGTTCATAAGAAAGAGGACTTTGTTCTGAATTGTATAATGTTAGCATGCCCAGAGGGGTTGGGCAGCCTGTTGACCTTGGACACCTTCAAATCACAGGTATTAAAGTATTAATTCCACTGATGAATTATTGGTATTAAAAAAGGTAGCAATTCTCTAATTATTAGTGGCAGTGTCAAGCTAGAAAGTTCAAAGATAAGGTTAAGTAGAGTTTGCATTCAGTACATACTGTATTTCCTTTTCAGCTTTTATCAGCTTAAAAATAAAAATACCAAGTTAAAGACAATAGTACTTGAAGTCATTAAAGGCATTTCTTCAAAATGAACAGAAAATTAAAATGACTACCGTCCAATTTCCACATAGTTTTTTTTTTTAACAGGCAATGTGATAGGATTTGCTTATGAATTTCCCTACTATTGTGTGACCAGAATGCAAATACAATGGAAACAGCTAAATATCATGTTAGATTGCAAAAGACGTTTGTTTTAAGAGATCTAAAATATCAACTTTACATTGACACAGTAAATGACAGGCCTGAAAAGGAAGAGGAGAAGCCCTTCTTCATATGTGTACTTGGATTTTCAACCTATTTAGAATTAATAGGCTAACTAAAGTGGGGTTATTTTATTATTATTTTAGAAGTATATAATTATGTCATAAACATATCTTTACATATTTGGTCTGGGATGAGAGCACCCTCATTGATTTATCTATGATGTTATTTGTTTAATTATAATGGGATTCAAAATTATTTTGCCAAGTTACCAGCTTTGTGATCACAACCTAACAGAATCATCCCCCACAGAGGCATTCCTAAAATATCTCTAATTGTTTAAAATGTAATGTGGGCAGGACAGCTTTAGGATTCTGACACTATAATTGAACTTGCTTTTCAACATTCTAGCATAGAGTGTACAGACAAGATAAGGAGTGGGCAAAGCCTTGTAAGAGTAAATAAAATAAAAAGCATATTATTTTCAAAATTTCAAACAACATGGCTAAAAGCACAAAGCTATAAATGAGAGGATGCCAGTTAAGAGGCCTGATGTGCGCAAAACATCAAATCCTATCCTATATCATGTCTACAGTACTGATTTCTATTTATTTCTGATGCAGCAGAAAGCCTTCTGTATTAATGGTAATGCACACGGTATAGAATCTTGTACAAAAAACCTTAAAAAAACATAAGAACTCAAATATGAGTGATCAGGGATTATTCAATAGCGTTGCACAAGGCATCCATCCCATTTTCACAGTTGAAAAACATTACCAAAAGATAGACATTTATATTTTTAAATGACCAAGTGAGAGAAAGCTCAATTTAATGGTAAATTCTGCAATTTTCTACTTTTTTTCCATCTCTGCATCGGTGAAAAAGCTGAAAAGGGAAGCGTTAATTGCTCTATTAAGACTAGCTTGTGACGTGAATCCATTGGCTACATCCCTCCCATTCCAACTACACTTTGAAATGGGTCAGATATACCGTAGATAATTTAACACAACGACAAGTCTAAAAATATTTTTTTCCAACAAACTGAATGGTGTGCATCTTTATCCTAATCATTGTGCCGATGTGCCACCCATCTTCAAACATTACCTACCAAATGTTTTGATGGGTTAATAACTGTATAGCTCCCTCAGTCAAAAACATAAAACACTGCTATACCAACACATACAAATTCAGACATGGATATACACACAAACACTTTAACAGACTCTATAAAACACCTAATCATCTAAAAAATAAAAAAAGCTTACACAGTTATATCTGTTTTCAGCAGTGAAATCACTGATATTAAGGGGAGAATGAAATTACATGCTGAAATGAAAAAAAAAGTACAGGTACATCTGGTTTGAAGTTTTTAAATAACTTTGAAACATAATTTTTGTCAAGAAGAATTATGAACCAAAATTTTTTAGACTTAAATGAATATACCAGGACTCAATATGAGCGCCTATCCAGCAAGCTGTTCTCTTCAAACAGATGTCTATTTATCCATTCTCCACCAGAGGATCACAGAAGGGGAGGAGCTCATCCAGGCAGGTAACAGGCACAAGGCAGTGTACACCTTGGATGGGACGCTAGTCCTTCACAGAGTACACACACTTTTGCACCTTTTTCCAAGCAGCCAATTAACCTGCCAGTATGTCTTTGAGCTGTAAGAGAGCACCTGGAGAAAATGTGGGTTTTCTCTGGGTGCTTCAATGTACAAACATACAAACACCATGCAGATAGCACCCCAGCAATTGAACCCAGGGCCTCAGTGCGGAGAGGCAGCATTGTGCCAGTGTGCTAGCCATCTTCAAACACTTCTCTCGATATTGCCATTTCAGATTTTCTTCAGTAAAATATCTGAAGTCTACAGGTTTCACTTGAAACCAAAAATAACTTGCAATAACACACTACTCCCAGAAAGGGATTTCCTGCCCTTTTGTTTGTTATGGTGTTACGTGTGTTTCTCATAGACTGGAAACCACTATACAGCAAACGGAGGTAGCTTCAGTAGATGCATTTTATTCATAATAGGTTTTTTGGAAAACTCCTGATATCTTGCAGGATACCCTTATACAACTCAACTCCGAACATATAGTAGGCTAGGTGGCAATCAAGTACTTGATTCTCAGTGGTGGTTCCTACTAAACAAAAACGCAGTTCAGTGATAATACATTATTTTACACTTCAATTTGATTACTGCCGTCTCTACTATTCAAATACAGATTCTCTTAAAGAAAAAAAAATACATTTAATGAAGGGGGTAGATTAAGGCATGCTTTCTAAAGCAAATACGCTTATTTAGAAACAGAAGACTGATTCAAGGCATTTTCAAATGTAAATGCTCACTAACCTCCAGTGAGGAGATTGCTGTATTTTTCACATACTGTATAGGCCTACTGCATTGTACATGAGTACGCAGCTCCATTTTGCTGATCTGCCTAGAGCAAGAACAGGGTCAACATCTGAGATTCAGAAGGCCTAAACCTGCAGAGTCTGAAAAAAAAAGAAGTTAATAATTGAAGTAAGGTGCTTACTTTGGGTTTACACATATAAAATGTGATGCGTCTTGCTGAACAGCACAAGATTTCATAAAGCAGGCCCACTGTGATAATAATTCCAACTTACAAATACTACTTCCATTACGCAGGACATAAACTGCAGCCTCCATGACTGATGCAATTATGCACCAGTAGCCCCATTACAAGTTAGGCACGGTCGAGAAGTCAGAAATATATTTAATGGCTGAATTGGGGGGAAACCTTTTAGGCCAGAATGCACAATCCCAAAGAGATAGGACAGCAGGGTTAAAAGCACTCCTCTCATTAACAATGCCATCAGATGCTAAAGGACTGGTTCTTTCTACAGTGCAGTTCTGCACTGTCACCAGACTGGGGTATTGATGTGAACATGTGAACATTCTGGTCCAGGGAGAAGTTTCTGACCGGACAAACGCTGCAAGCTTCTGAGATCTGAGACCGATTTAGGCCAAAAGGGGCAGAGGCTGCTGGCACAGATAAATAACGATGATAGTATTCTTTCATTAATAGCTACATTAGACAAGAATCTACAAGCATGACAACCAACTCCCCAAAAATATCAGTAGTAATTCAAAGAAAGTGTTACAGTTCAGCTATCCACCCTGAAGCATTACAGAACAGCATCTGGTGTTCTCATGAAGTATTTTGTCCATTGGCTACACTTACAGTTCGTAGAATTTAGGTACATCTCTTATATTTGTATTTGATATTAAAATCAATGTAACGACGCACCTCCGGCGACTATTTAAAGCATTACTCGACTAGTGTTCGGCTGTGACCGCAGCAGGAGTTCACTAACAACTCGCGGGGAAGCTACTCATAAGATCCAGTCGCCCGTTGGCTGTGAAAACAAGTGTTGATCATAAATCACCAAATACGCAGGAAAAATGAACGTCGCCAACTTGTGACAAGTGCTGTGCCACCAGGCGACTGAACACTGCACGTCACAGGCGTGACGAAGCTGTGCCTACTGCATTGTCCCACAAAACAACAGGTCCTGCGCACGACTTTGTTCAAAAAGCTCCCCGAGAAGTCCCAGCGGTTCTGGTGCCGCTTCAGCAAGCTTGACTGAGGTCCACGCCTGTACTCCACCATAGGTGGCTTCTACAGAAATCTGCCACTGCTGTGATTGGCCTGGCCTTCTGACACTCAAATGTTTTCCCTTCTTTGTTAAGTTCGGTTGATTTACAACAACAACAACAACAACAGCAGCAACAGCAGCAACAGCAGCAACAAGGGAAAAACAAAACATAAGAAAACGCCACCTACCTGTTCAAACTAAGGAATTCTACCACCGCCGCCGCGACGAAACAGCGAAGACTAACAAGCACTTTCGCAGGAATGTTTCTCTTTTCCTCCGCGATCAGTTCCCAAGCAGACCCATCTGAGACCAAAGCTGCCCCGTCTTTTCCACAGGAAGATCGAGTACTGTCTAACCTGCGTCTGTAGTGCGTCTGTAGTGCCTCTTGCCACCTCCTCCTCCTCCTCCTATCCGTGACCGCCGGAGCTACTTCGCTCCGTCAGCCTCTCCACTGCTGTCACTTTTGACGTCCCGTGTTGTTGGTGGAAATGACGTAAGAAAGTCAATGAGTAAATCTATCTTGGGATCAATTTCCTTTATAAAAAAAAAAACAGACTTAACCAGCATAACACATTCATGCTATCCAATAATGTAAAATTTCGTTACATTCAGTAAAAAAAAAATATTTTCACCACCTGGGCCAAACAGATTGACTTTAATTGTTATCGAATGTGCGTCTCTTAATTTAAAGATAATTGTATGCTTATTTGTAGTTAACCAATGGCGGCAGTTCCCATGATTAACCCGGCAAGGAACAAACTGATTTTTTTTTTGTAAAGGAGAATTGTGTTTACGGTAGTTAGCAAGACAGTTTACATCAGGGTTTCGCATCTGAAAATAAATTCGTGATTTATAACAGTAACCGAGTGTAACATTTACAAGTTTTAGATTTTAATTGCAGATACAGCTGATCTATAAATTGTCACTGCTGTTACTGTATTGCTGTTGAGTTTTAGTTACTACAGCTGTAAATAAACTGGTAAGTAAAACTTTTTAAAGAGGAAAGGTGCATGTAGTTAAAAACTTAACATTTTAAAAGAAGACCTACGAAGTTCTGTTAGTTTCAAGTTTGCAATAATTGTCGATTGCTCAAATGTTATTATTGGTAATTCAAATCCTAGCGCTGGTGCATGTACAAAGTTTGCAGTGGAACTCAAATTGCATTATTCTAACAAGTCGAGAGTAATCATCTGACTTGCACTTTGTATCTTTTGTTTTAATGGCACCATCTCTTAATTTGTCGGTTTACGTGTTGCACCGTTTTCAAGGTTACATATTGTGGTCTTCTCAAGTTCTTCAGCACAAATCACAGTAAATCTAAAACAACAGTTGCTGCAGTTCTGGTGTGGGCGATCCATTTGTTCTTGTTTGTTCTCGGAGTTATCGTGGCAACACTGCATTTTCCTGGCTTCTGAAACGACTTAATGAAACAGGGAAAGCAGCTGAATAAGTTCAAACAGAACCCTTTTCCTCACAACTGTACTGATTTAATAAATTAATAGGAAACTGTTGGTTTAGTTACTGTAGGTAGCAAGGTACGTACCAATAACAAGAAACGATATAAATGCACAGTACGTTACAGATACTGCCCAAGAGAAATGGGCAAACTGTCAGATAAACCACATGTACGGTAGTCGGTACCTTTCAGAATGTATTCTTACATTTAATCGAGTCGTGTATTTTGTAATTTATCGTCATTATTCGGGTAGTGAAAAATGCTTCACGTATTGACCACTGTTTTTTCATGTTCAGAAACATCAGGTAAACACACACACACACACGCAAAAATCTTCAGTGACAATGGCAACGGGGGATCTGAAAGGCAGTCTGAGAAAGCTCGACCAACATCTTCGATTACTTAATTATCCCAGAGAAGTGGATTACACTGGGTAAGAGCGATTGTATAATTGTTTGTCAGCTATACGAAAGTCTTTTGTATTCCATTTCTCCCATCCGCCCATGCAGCCTTGTCACCTTTGCCAATTCATTGTAATGACAAAGAGTTGTCTACTTTGGTGTAAATACTGTATATAAGGCCATATAAAGGATATGTGTAGAATGTATGACTCAATTAAAAGCAGTACCCTCTGAGCTAGTGTTGGCCCTGAAAAGCTTTAAATCCCCAGACACGGTGAATGCTGTTGGTGATCTGTGAATCACAACCTAGCAGAGCTTTAGAAAACTTGTGTAGAATCTGTAACATTCAGCCCGTCAACTTTAAAGCAGCTGTTAAAGATGACTTGGGGAAAAAAAAAACTAACTCTTGAGCAAGGCAAAATAGGACCTAAAGCAGAAATGATGATTCAAGAGTCTGAAGGGGGTCTGTTTAGAAGTTATTCTACTTGAATCTCCTGCCTTTAAAACAGTATTTTATGTTTGGGAAAACGAAATCTCAAAAGGACAATATTGTTTCCTATATACATTGTGAAGATGTCCAGACTAATAGAAAAACAGTTAAAGCATTGCATTATTATAGCCACTGTCTTGATTTTAAGTTATATTATTAAGTAGTGGTTGATGTAGTAGTAACTATAAACAAAAGAAGATAATTGCTTAGATGCAAATGTGATGGACATAATGTCTGATGGAGGTTTCCTTACAGTTTAAGGGGCACAAGAAGCCCTCAGGAGATTTTTACTTTATTCTTTAGTCATTGCTTCCTTCTAAGGACCTGTTATAAAACCTCTATACATCTCATGTCATACATGTGGTTTTATTTACTAATAGTTAGATTAACATCTGGTATAAGCACGTTTCTTTAATTTCCTATGATGTAATTTTTTGTTATGCTTTCTGTTTCAACCTTTGTAGTCTGTAAGGTCACAGCTTTCTAAAAGGAAGAGATTCTGGCAGCTATTGTAGTTTATTGTTACCATGCCATTTTGTAAACTGTCAAGGAAAAAGGCAACTTGGAAAAATGGGACCTGTTGTTAGATTTATTACCCTGGCTGAATCACCTTATTTTACCTCAGGGTTTATTAATACCATATTAATTTCTTATGTCCGCGGTTTCAAAAAAAGTTAAAAGAAATTAAAATTAAGGAAATGCTTTAAGAAGTGCTGTGGTATTGATACATATGGTATACATTCTTTCTCTTTATGGAAATAAGCGGTAAAATATGTGCATGGTTTTCATCATAAGCGCATACACAGCAGGTATTATGAAAGTAATTTCTGTCTTGACTTACAAAGAGTTGTGTGTAAGGAATTGCATCAATATATTGTGTGCCTCGTTTTTGCCCCAATAAATTCCACAAGAAATAGGCCACAGCAAAGTTTTTCAACACCGTGTGTCATGACTATGAGACTGTTAACTACATAGATTAAAGAAGGACAGTTAACCTGTCTCCACCTTAGAGGAATGTTTAAAATTGAACGTTTTAAGAGTTACATCACTTCTCATTATACTGTATTGGGGAAATCAGAACAAAGTTAATTGACAATTATGTCCCATATGAATGCAAGGAAAGTGTATGTTTTCAATAAACATTTAGTGCAGTTTTTTCCTGTATCTGTGTTCAAGACCTGGCAGCAGAAAAGTGAGCTGTTTTGTAAACACCCTTATATTTACATTAACCAGCTCTTCTAGCTAAAACAGATCTGAACTGAAGATCAGATGCGCTGATATCTGTTTGAAGTGCAGACTGTTTGCAGTTAGAAGAAAAATATTTTCCATAGATACGTGTAAAGTCTCCCAAACAAATGGGCAATGCAGTTTTATAAGAGGATAAGAAGACCCATCTTCTTGTACATGCTACTATCATATACTTAATGTGTCCTTAATGGGAGGGTTTTTGAATGTCTATTTAAATATCTTATTTTTTAGGCTTTAAAAAACACACTTTATATTGTAAAATATTTGTGTATATATAGAAATATGTTCTTGAATTAAAAACAATGTGTATGTATAACTACTTTCTTATTCTTTCTCCCTGTTAGAGAAGGCAATTATTTCACACTTGTCATTTCCTCCTATCAAAGCTCAGTTCCGTAATAGAAATGGTAACAAAAGGATCATCATTAAAATATACCCAGTAAATCAACAAAAGTCTAAAACTTCTCAACATAAATAACACGTCTGTTTGATTTGTATTCAAAGCTTATTCATGTATTTTTATCTTAATGTACCTGCATATAATTGTACACTGCTGTAGACAAGGGTGGTGGCTGAGCAAAAAAAAAATATACCTATGATTCAAATCTGACCCACCATTTACCATTTTGGAAGCAAATTGTTTTTTCTTGCAAATGCCTTGTCTTTACTGCAGAACATTTTCTTCAACCTTGTAAATTAATAATGAGTGAAAGCCTACTTTGGGTTGAAATAGACATGTACAGTACGTAGTCAAAGATAAGCCATGGAACATCATGGAACTTTGTTCATCTTAGTAACTTAAAATAATTAAAGAATGGCTATGATGTGATAAAAATAGATGATGTGGACACGCTTTTAAATATATGACCATATTGTTTTACATTTTTTACTTCAATTTCCAAAATTCCCAAATAATAATTGCTGTTAGGCTTTCAATAGTTTATTTTCTGTTAACTGTGATCATATTAATTTGTGTTTGAATGAATCATAGCCAAAATGGCCTGAACTCTTCCTGGTTACAATATGGTCAAATACCATTTTTATTCTAATAAGAAATCTTTTTAGTGTATTAAGTTCTATTACCAGTGCTTTTTACTGCAGATAAGTAGTATTTATGCTTGGGAAATTTACATTGTAGCTGTGTCTTCTTACAGTTTGGCGAAGGGTGATCCATCTGCCTTTTTACCAGTTGTGAGCCACGCCTTCATTTCTTATTCTTCGTATCTAGCTGAGCATCTCGTAGGATTTGGAGTGGAGCTTGCTGGAAAAAATGACCTGCGTTTCATTGAAAGCGTCTATAAGGTAAATAGTTTAAATAATCACTCTATCTTTGGAGAGCTAATTGATATTGTACTGCAGCATCAGGAATTGATCAGTCACAATATAACCAAGGACTGCACAAACAAAATTTAAAAATCATTCTTCCATCTCATAGATGGAGAAAAATCTTTAATAGTTTGTAAGAAAAAGCTTCTACTGGGACATTTGCATGGAACACAAACATTTGTATCTGTGGGGACGTTTCTTTGACTGTCACTCTATTTTTATTTATTATTACAGGCTCACTCAAATGAAAAGACGCAGTGAAAGTCACCTCAAAACAAATATTCTTGCCACTTTTTTATTTCAAAGAAGACAGTGTTTAGCTTATGAAAAATCCTCAGGTTGTCTGTCAGGAGTTCCTGTCTTTCTGAATATGTTTTCTCTAATTTTCTTTTGCATTGACTCAAATTGCTAATTATACAGTACCTGCCCTAAAATGCGCACAAACCAAACTGTCTGTAATAAGAATCCATTAATCTCCATTTATAGTACTACCTGCAATAAAAAAATACGAAAATATTTCTAACTGGGCCTAAATGTGAAATTAGTTAGAACATGGAAATACCATATTCTGACTTGAACAACTAAGACAAAAGAATACAACCTAAAGAATAACGTCCACTCAAGGCTAAACATTGCATGCCCCCTATGAGAAAAGAGATATTTCTAGCCGCAATCCAAAAAGTTCTGTCATGAAGTGAGCATTGTAAACTATGGGATTATATTTTACGTGCAACCCTGGTGTTCGGAATGAGATTGCACAGTCTGTTTCTGAATATAGCAACATTGCCTTGGTTAAAAGGTTCTCAGAATTGCTTGTCAAGCCAGTGTCTGAAAGCACCCTACATGGACTCCAATCAGCACTATAAATCCCTTAAAGAAACAAAGCTTGAGTACGACAATCATACTCAACCAAATATAAACATGTAACAACAGAAGTCTTTTTCCATCTTTGTTAGTGCACATCTGTAGGTTAAGAACTAAAATGTGACAATATTTATCAAATAATCAGAATAAGCCTTGGGTGGGATAGTGTTTTTTTCTTTTTAGGCTGTGATGTTTCATCATTTGTAAACACAATCATGCAAATGTTGGAAAGGCACATGGTGTTTCACTTAGAAGGTGCTTTTCCAACAGGCAACTCCTATTTTAGAGATCATTAGTATGTTCAGCATTGATTTGGTTTGAGATCTGGTAATGTACTGTAGTAAAACATTTCAACATAGTAACTCATTGAAACCATGTGTGATCTGTGTGATTTAGATTAAGGGATTATACATATTACAATTGCATTCCCTTATATAGACATCATCAGATCATTTTGTTGTTTTTTCCTAATACACACATATTCTGCCGTCACTGAATGAGAGACAGAATTGAGATTCAGTAAATACCAGTCTGTGCGAATACCCAGGTGATTACAATCCATTCTGAGGTTTGTTGCCAAAGTACAAAGAAGTCAATGCCGGTGTTGACTAGATCTGACAGCCTCCATATGAAGGTTGCCAGTTGCAATGGGAACCTGTTACTGGTGTGTGGTAGTAACCCCTCAAGTTGGGTTGTTACATGCAGTTGACTGTGTCAGTGTCTTTCATCAGTACTTCCTGGCAGTTTGCACGGCCGCTGAGTTCTAGCAGCTGGTGAGCGGATGGACCCAGACTAGCTCCTCAGAGTTAATTTTTGATAAAGCTGCCATGCTGGAAGTGTGTTTGGAGCCAGCCCACCAGAGTGCCTTCTACGCATGGATCTATCAGCTTTGTACACACTAACCTGAAGGTCTTTCTTACTGCTGCATATCGCAGCTTCTCAAAGTGTTACACTAAAGCAGCATGATTGGTTAGCATGGCATTCATTAATAATTAGGTATAAAATTATACTCCTGTGTTGCATAGGAGTGCTTCATTCAGTTCAGTTAAAAAGTTAAAGTATATTTAATTGGGCTGTTGGTGGTAAGTTCTGAAAGAAAGCAGGCACATATCTTGGAAGAGGTGCAGTGTTCCAGATTGTGCAATTATAGGGGCTTAGGGTGATTGTGGGGGGAGTAAACTTACAGCTTCTGGTAAGCTGTGGGGAGTCCTGTAGGAGTGGTGTGTAAAGGCTGTGTATGGGTTGATGTCTTTTATGTAATGTTTATATGTACTGTTTTTAATGGTTTTTGTCAGTCTCAGTGTGTGTAAAACATAAGATACTTAGATAAGAAACAAATTTCTGTGAAATCAGACAATGAAGCATTATGGTATCGTATTACTTGGGGAAATGCAGTATTTTGAGCATTTCCCATCAGAAGATGGGATCCATCAGGAAGAAAAACTTGTTGTATGACTAATAGGCAGTACTAAATCCTGTTTATTTAATTTCTGTGGAATTATGAAGATGCCACAGAAAATTTAACCCAGAGGAAGCAATCCAGGTTGAAGCAGAATTTGATAAAAATCTGATAGGACTTAACTAATTAGGGAAACAAATTACAACGATAATCCTGTTGTGTATATATCTGTTTTGCATAGCGACTGAAAAATCGATACATTTATCATCTGCACTGAAGACCCAAAAGTAGGTGTTTTCTTTAATTTCAGAACACCTATAGTGTGTGTTCAGTGTATATATAAGGAAAGGGATTGCACTGTTATCATAAGTAGGGAGAATGTTGGGAATTGAGAAGGCTCACCTCTTCGACACTCTCCCATCCAGTATCCGATGGCATCTCGAGGAGTATTGTTTATTTGGGGTTGGAACTTCAGAAGACATTGAATTAATATTACACTTAGCTCCAACTTGTTGAAGCACAAGTTAATGTTGATAAGTCTGACAAACACTGTAAAAATGTTCTTGCAAAAGGCAACTTTGTGTGAACTACCATACACATTCATTTATTGCACTTTCTTCCAACAGAAGTTAAGAAGGAAAGCTGAACAATGAATCTTCGTTTGTCTCGTAATTTCCTCTTATGCACTTTGCCATAGTTCAGACCATATTATTATCAAAATAGCTTTTGCTCAGGCAGGGTTGCTTTAAGCTTATGACTGCTTCACCAGGAACATCATCACCCAAAAAGGTGTGTTTCGGAATGATTATTGAAGTGTTGGGCGTGGAAGTTTAGGACCCTCCCTACAAAGACGGAAAAGCTGCACAGGTGGAGGAGGGACTCAGAAAGGCAATTGCAAGCAGGAGAGGCATTATTGGCAGTTAAAGTTTTTGGGAAGTGATGTCATGGAGAGTTCTGAGCTCAAGTATCAGAAGTGATTGAAACCTTGGTTGCCGTCGTCCCTCAAGAACCTTCATCTAAAATCTCCACAATTTACAAAATAACTACAGATGAATCATGTTCTTCTAAATATTTAGTTAAATCAGTAAATCATCAAAATTAATGTACAATTTAACTTGAAATCAGCTCACCATTACTGTACATTGAAATGTTATCACCTGAGCTTCTTTGTATAGAGCCTTTACTCAACAAGTAGTTTGTTTTACAGGACGTTGCTTACATGGTTGTGGCTAGTGTGTGGAGTAGTACTGTAGTTAGAGCTCTGGACTCCTAATTGGAAGATTGGAAAGGGGGGCTACTGTTATACTCTTGAGCAAGGAGCTTCAGCCTTTGGACAAAACTGTCTGCCAAACAAATCAATATTAAATGAAATAATAATAACACTAGTCACATCCTGCAGTTTGCCCTGCTTACATAATCTCTGGGGATTTCATTACTCCTTAAATCACCTTACCTTCCTTAATTTATCATATTAAATAATTCATTATTTTCTGAGAAGAGCTATGATACAGTACATCTGTCCTGGAGATTTCAACAAACTTTTTTTCCCATTGAAATGTCCTGTGTTGAATTGACAGCTGGTGGAGAAGTCCTTGAATAATTACATCGGGGTTCACATTTCCTGCCGAGTAATGGAACCCTTCATGTGCTTCCAAGTTCCCATCTTAGATCTTCACCAAGAATTTTCCATTTAGATGTTTGCATGTAGAGTGATTTGTCACAGTGTTAATGTATTTCCTCTTATCCTGCATGTAATTGTTTGGTATATTGGAAGTGTCTCATGAACTTTAACATCTGGCTGAATTGATTTTTTTCAATAATAATCTTGGGAAGGACATTAAAGAGTGGACAATTCTGTTTGCCACTGAATGCAGAAAATGTAAGATGAGTATAAAAAACATCCTCCAGAATCTTCCTCAGCTCTAAGTGGATGCTGTTCTTATTGACTCCATTTCATGTAACTCTGATTTTGCCATTATCTTTTTATGGCCTCTGATATTTATCTAATTCGAAGTCTTAGTGTGTTGTGTTTTTATGCAGAAAACTGGTTAATGAGGCATCAATTTATGCTTTTACCCCTTAATTGGTGCACATACATATGTAGTTCCATAATCAATTAGCTAGTACATTTTACTGTATGTAGGCCTGAATCAGTGATACAGGATTTGAAAGCTGATGCAAAGTGGGGCACATTCATGGAAGCTTACAAAAATACCATAAATGTAATTCCATTAATCAATCTAACCATGATTAGATTGAGTGGATGATAGAAACCATTAAAAAGTGGGAACTCTTAACTCAGTCAGGTATAGGTTTGACAAGGTGGTCAGTGTTTTGTCTCGTGTCTGGAGTGCACTCTCACTGCTGCCTATCTGAAACTGGTGGCTGATCACATTGAAAAGGTACATTGCATAACAGAATGTCATTCATTTATGTTTGAATTTATGTTAATACAAAATGCATGAATAGCTCCTTTAACCTTAATAAAATTATAATTGGGTAATCACCCATCACTTCTACAGGTAACAGGTATGTTCTCGAAATTGTTTATTTCAGAAATGCAGATAATTTCTTGAGATGTCCAGCATTTAATTACCGTTAATATATTTACTGCTTTTATTTTACTGCATTTAGAATGGCCTTCTTCCATGTTGACAATAACACACTTTCAAAAACACCATTTTGTTAAATCCTTACAGAAATTATATTTCTACATTTGGTGGGTGAAAGGCACACAATATTGACAGTTACTGTTTGACTTGTTTGCTTACAGATTTTAAGGATGTTTAATGGAATCTTAAAATTTTCTAGTGAGATTTAGACACAGGTGAATGTATTTATTTTTCTTAATATAGGTTCTGCGGGACCTGTTTCACTATAAACCAATTTTGACAAAACAGCAGTTTCTTCAGTTTGGATATGCAGAAAGAAAGATCAGCATTCTATGTGACATTATCAGCTTTGTAACAAAGAAACACAAAGAGCTTTCAAACAAACACAAGGTAATAACACTTTACTTCTTTAATTAGAAATGTAACATTAAAAATGTATTAGCCTTTCTTTGGTTTCTTTATCAAAACAAATTGTTGTTTTTAAATTAAAGTTTTGTAAATCATCTTTAAATCAACTAAACATGTACTCCCTGTTGCATAATGTTTGTAATTTTAGTTTCAACAGGCCAAATAAGTTTCATTTTTACACATGGATTCACTTTTTCAAACTTTTTCTTCATGCAAAGTAGCCTTATTTTTGCAGTACATAGACTCCTGGTTATATCATTGTTTTAGACTCAGTTGTTTTGTAATTTTTAATGATCACTTTTTTTGCATGACTACAAGTGAGTTATGTAGAGTATTTCATGAAATGTGCACTACGGGAATCTTGAAATGCAATAGATGCCTAAGGAGACATTGCCCAAAAATATATAGTACAGTATGTGGTTTTAATATAGTATAGCCCAATAGGATCGATTAAAAAACAAAAAACAAAAAAAAACCTTTTGACAAATTTAATGAGAAAAGTTCAAAAAGTTGTAGTGAAAATAAAATATGATAATGATATATTTACAATAAATATTATTATATATGATAACAATATATAACATTCAACATAGTTACTGTGTATAATACATGAAAACTTGAAAATATCAAGTAGGCTTAAATTTAAGTAAAGATTTTGCTGTCTGCCAGGAAGTCATGTATTGATATTCTTGGTTTTCTTTTTATTTGGCGTTTTGCTCCTCAATCTTGAGCTGGAGATTAGCTCTCTTTGCCCTCAGTCATTACTGATAAGATCAGTCTTGTACAGATGCCTGTGTACACATTTTCAAACATTTTTTTTCTTGCCATTGCCTGAGGCAGACTATAAAGAAGACAACCTATCTACATAGATAACAACACATGACATTAAACTGCTCATTAGCTTGGGAATTAAACCTTTAACCTATACGTTTGAAGACGGGGGTTTACATTAGTCTCTGGGCTATATGAAAATGTTATCTTGTTAGATTGTTCTTTAAAATAAAATGAGTACTGTGCCAGAAAGAACTTAATTTCATTTTAGTTTCTGT